GAATGTGAAGGCGTATCCGGATAGCCTTTTTCTGGTACACTTCCAGAAGGGAACGGTGACGCTCAACGCACTGAAAGCCATCCGGTCCATCAATTCCATCATCGTTTGCTGGGAGCCATACCGTAGCGGCCATCGCGATGTGACTCAGTGCCAGCGGTGTCTGAACTTCGGACACGGTACCCGCAACTGCAACATTAAGCCACGCTGCGGAAATTGCGCTCAAGACCATGCCACCTCCGAATGTGCTGCGGATGAAGCTGTAGCGTCCAAATGCGTCAACTGTGGTGGTGCTCACCAAGGATCCAATAAGCAATGCCCTAAACGCGAGGACTTCAAGCGCATCCGAAATCAAGCGTCCACCAACAATCAACCAGCACGAAGGAAGGATAAGTCCAAAGTCCGCTCGAAGATCAGGTTGCGCAATGCGTTCGAAACCTAGATGCCTCCCCTTGTGTCGTGCCTCCGGCGGATATGATTACAGTACAACAGATTTGCTCAGCGCTGAAATGCACCAAGAACATGAAGGCTCCCGGGTTTGACGGTATATTCAACTTGATCTTGAAGAGACTCAGCATGAAAGTGCAGTCTCTTCTAACCGCTATCTTCAACAGATGCTTGGAACTGCACTACTTTCTAAGTATCTGGAAAGTAGCAAAAATCATACCAATCCGCAAGCCCGGTAAGGATCCAACATTGCCTTCAAGCTACAGACCAATCAGCCTCCTTTCAGCGCTGAGCAAATTGTTCGAGAAACTGATTCTCAATCGTTTGTACAAGTTTGTCAAGGAAAACAATATTCTCCTTCCGGAACAGTTTGGATTCAGAAAGGGGCACTCCACCAATCATCAGCTAGTACGGGTGATGAATAACATCCGAAGTAACAAAGCTGTATCCAAGTCCACAGCCATGGCCTTGTTAGACGTTGAAAAGGCATTTGACAATGTTTGGCATGACGGACTTGTGTACAAGCTTTGTTACTTCAACTGTCCTTAAATCACCCGTAACTACCTCCAGCAAAGGTCGTTTAAGGTATCGTTGAATGGTTGTCTTTCAGACACGTTTTCCATCCCAGCAGGAGTCCCGCAAGGCAGTCTGCTGGGCCCCTTGCTTTACAGCATTTACACTTCCGACATTCCTCCCCTCGGTGACGGTTGCGTGTTTTTCCTGTTCGCAGATGATACCGCAATAGCCGTCAAAGGAAGGATGCCTCGCGAAATAACGAACAAACTTCAACGATGCCTTAACGCCTTTGCTGATTATGCCACCACGTGGAAAATCAAAATCAATGCCTCCAAAACACAAACAATCATGTTCCTCCATCGGCAATCACCCAAACAAAAACCGGCTCCATCTTGTACTGTAATCATGGATGGCACAAGGGTTAAGTGGTCCGCCGAAGTAACCTATCTCGGGATGTTGTTCGATGAAAAGCTCCTCTTCCGTTCGCATGCAGAGAAAACTGTAGTCAAGTGTTCTACCTTGGTTAGGTGTCTGTATCCGCTGATTTGCCGCAGATCCCGCCTCTCAAGGGTAAACAAACTGGCTGTCTACAAACAAATAATAGCACCTGCGATCCTCTACGCAGCTCCGGTATGGGAATCATGTGCACAGACTCACAGGAACAAAAATCCAAATCGCTCAGAATAGAGTGCTGAGGATGGTTCTTGATCGTCCTTTCGACACTAGAATAACAAATTTACATGAAGAGACAGGTATTGCCAAAATAGATTCCCGAATTAACGAAATTAAGACTAAATTTGCACAAAAATGTAATTTATCAGAACATGCTTTGATAAGCAATTTGTATATAGTAGATTAGGTGTATATAGTAGTTGTAGGTTAGTTATAGTTGTAAATAGTAGTTATAAGTAGTCTCCTTTTTCAAATTTAAAACAAACCAATCCCACCAAGGTGGTCATTCTTAAAACAGGCCTGATAGGACTAGGAACTGTAATTAATAATAATTGAAATTTCAAAGGAATTAAAGTTGACAAGACGCATCTGTGTTATACATGTAAACCACACAAATTCAAGAAATATAGATCATTTAAAGTCAAAAAAAGGCATTAGCTCATTTTCGCTTCGGGCGGCGTGGTGAACAGTAATAGCAGCAGTAGGAAGGTGGTGGCTAGTCCACTCCTTCACACCTAACAAGCAACAATTGACTGGTCGTGGCAAAGGAGGAAAAGGTCTGGTAGAGGCGGCGCCAAGCGTCATCGCAAAGTTCTTCGAGATAACCGCCATCGGTCGTCTGGCTCGCCGTGGTGGTGTCAAACGTATCTCCGGTCTGATCTACGAGGTGTGCTGAAGGTGTTCCTGGAAAATGAGGTCCGTGATGCTGTCACCTACACTAAACACGCCAAGCGTAAGTGGCCATGGATGTCCTCTTCAATAAAACGGCCCTTTTCAGGGCCATCAAGCTTACATCAGTAAAGAGTTGGAATAGAATTTATCTGTGCTTGTTTGTCCATATTCAGAACCACTAGCCCTCAAGGACCACACAAAAAGCTCTCCAGAGTTGTAATCTTGTAACCAAACTTGGGCAGGGGTGCAAGTGATTTTGATTGATTCTCTTAATCAACTTTCTCTTTGAAAAAAATTACTACACATTTGGTACGCCTAAAATTCAAAAACGGAAAGAGTTGAGATAATAGATAATTGATCAAATAAAAGAACTAAATGGTCTTCACATTTATTCCGTCCACTAGCGGTCCTACGTCAAGCTTCCGTTCGTGCCCCTAGGCACAGACCCTTCTACTTTTTCTTGAACTGATGGCCGCCATCTTGGATTTAAAAATGGCGTCTGGCATCGATTTCCAGCCTCTACACGTCGTTCCCTTTCCGAAAATACACATATACTAGGGTATTTGACAGTTTTTCTTGAATTGATGACCGCCATCTAGGATTTTAAAAAGGCGTCCGACATCGATTAACAGCCTCTCTACAAGTCATCCCTATTCCGTTGGTGTCCTCACATTGCACAGCAACATCTTATATGGACATGCTTTCGAGGCATTACATATTAAGGAAGTTCATGTTCACACTAGCGCCGCGTAGTGAGAGAGTTCTTAAATAATATGAACACCATACAAAAGGACATTATTACCTGAACAACTTTGCTGAAGACAGTAACCTTCTATATGGCCAGGATTTTGAGATACAGCTTATATAGCAAGCTCATGTGCACACTAGCGCTGCCTAGTGAGAGAGTTCTGAACTAATATGGCCACCATCCGAAAGAACTTGGTCATTTGAACAACTTTGCTGAAGACAGTAACTTTCTATATGGCCAGGATCACAGAATATTCTATGTTGGACCTAAGATCCATATATTATAGCGCACGTCATAAGTAACATAAAAGTGAAGCACCTCTAGCGGCGTAGTTCCCCATCAAACCTGAATTCAATGACACAGGCTTGTTGGTCTATCCCAGTACAACAACTTTGTCGAAGACAGTATAGCTCTATATATTGAAACAAATAAGATAATCCACCACAGCCCCCATTAGTGAAAATCCTATAAGCCGGATAACCCGGCAATAAGGATTCCTGACTGTAACTGGATTTTTCATGTGCAACAATTGCAACTAACTTGCTCCTCGACTGCAGGTTGGTTGCCTTTTCTCACGTGAGGTGACATGTCGAACAGAAATATTTCTGTCCTCTGGGTTATGTATGAGAAATCGAAGAGTGAACTATATTATTAATATAGTAGGGTAAATGTTGGCTTCGGCACCCATTGACAGTTTTCGACAACCAAAATTTAAACGTTAATTTCACTCTATTTTCCCATCCAAACTCTTCTCTGAATGCATTCAATCGATTCCTTAGTCTTTCAGCTTCAATCTGATTACATTTTTACTACTGAGCAATCCGATTGTGCCAGAATTTTCTTTAAACGAAATATAAGCACTACTTCTCTTCTTCTTCTTCTTCTTCTTCTTCTTCTTCTTTTCCTTTCCTTTATTTAATGTCAGTCTCTGTTCTGCAATCTAGTGCCAATCACCGATGGACATCGATTGCCATCCATTGACGGCAATCGAATGTGCACAGGAAGGAAGGCAGCTGCCACACCTGCGTAGGATATCGCACCCGTTCAAACACACATGGGCCAGGACCAACGGGCTTTACTTCCCTTCCGAAGGAAGACGTGACCAGAGATTTTTATGCCTCAGAAAAATCCCACCGACCTCGGCTGGGATTGAGACCACCATCGGCGCCGGCTATACGCACTGCAAAATGCGGATGATTATGAGTTGCCGATAATAGAACAGCTGGTTAACACGCAGTTCAAATGGAAAGGTTTCCGAAGAAAAAGGGGCTGCCGACAACAAACACGTCATATGTGTGCGTAACGTTGAGAGATTTCTAATAGAAGCTCGGACGCTGCTTAGATTGACGAGAATACGTAAATTCGCCTATATATCGTTAATGTAGCATATTTATTTTATGTATTCAAAATTGATTTTTTTTTCCTAATTAAGGCGAGGTTTTTGTTTTGAATTTTGACTATGTGTATGAGTAAACCTTACGCAGCTTCTTTTACTACCGAAAATATGAATCAAGAAATTGATGAAAAGCACCGACTATAACTATAACCGACAGGCACCGACTATAACTCGTAGAATCATTTGAAACATCACTCAAGTTCAACAGAATTAGGACTGCATTTTTTTTTTAAATAAGTCAACCGGTATTCTTGCCTTGAATTCTCCCAAAAGTTACCATTACGTTGGGTGCAGTATTCTTGCTGACACTCATAGAAAGATCCAACCTTCGAGCAAACCGAGCCAAATGCTTCACAGCTCCAACCGGTTCACGTCGGAATCCCACTCGAGATAATCCTAGTTTCAACAAGATCTCGGCAAAAACAATGCCACTGACGTACAGATACGATGCACTGCACAAGGTATGAACGTGACAACCGACGAAGACGACGCTCACGAGTAGCGGCCACCAAACTAGTCATAAATCAAATCACCCAAACGGCAACGTATTACCTCTTGGTAGGCGAGCGGCCTGGTGTGTTTGTCCCTTTCCCACCGCTGGATTCGGGGCTGTAGGCCAGTGGGCTGAGCTGTCCGGATCGGGGGCTTTGCAGCAAATGTCTGATATCTTCCGATTGCTGCTGGGCTGGATCGGAAGCCGTTTCGATGTCGATTCGCGGGAGATTCAAATTTCTACTCCGATTCGCGGACATAGTTGAATAGAGAACCGCGCGTGTCTGACACTTGAGTGAAACTGTTATCCTCAAAGTACAATTCCGTCCGCTCGAGCAACTCGGTGTGGTAATCAGCAAATCAAGCGAATAGCTGTTTGCGCTTTGGATTAAGATGGATAAATAAACATTGTGAGCGGGAGATGTCTAGAAGTCTAGATTAGCGCCGAATCCAGCTCTTCACGCATCGTCCGACGATGGACGGATGGACGGTCAATCAAAAGAACTGACACAGACGGAAGGCATCAGGCGAAAGAATTTCAATCACGTCATTAGCTTTTAACATTTTTTCGCTCCTGATAAGGGATATGAGAAACGTCCAATTAGTGTGGACTGAAACATGAAATTTGAAGGCTCCCTGGGCTTATTCGAATTTTTCTCTTATTTTTATTAATTAAAAGTGCATCAATTAAAATTTTGCAGCACACGGAGTACACGGTTTAACATGAAGGGGGGGGGGGGGACGAAATCGTCACGCTGCCGAACTGGTTCGGATAAATGCGACGAGGTGAGTTTCTCATAATGGGCCGAGTTGAATTTCAGTGAGAATGGAAACAAACAAAAGTGTTGATGAAAGGGAAGACGAAAGAAAGGCACTTTATTTCAATGTTGATGAAATGTTGCTGTTAAATCGTAATCATGAACAAATATGAATTTTAATCGTCGAGTAAAAACTTCTCCGTGTGAGTTGAAGTTTAACTTGGTAATTCATTAGATTACAATCATGCTTGGAAATTGTTTTATACTAAAATAAAGCCCGATGGTTCAAAGTAAATCTGGTCGCAGGTTTGAGTGTACCATCGTGTCCCTTGGGATTCGAAACTTTTGACAGCATTTTGTAACTGATTTTTTTTTTTATTATAGTCCCTTTAACACTCTTGGGTCATTCGTGACTTGTCCGGGGGTGAGATTTGAACTTGTGACTTTGGCGTGAGAGGTATGGATGTTAACTACTACGCCGGGGTCGCCCCCGTTTTGTAACTGAAGAAAATTTCGTTAATATTTTTCAAGCGTTTGAATGTAATATCATCGAGGTAACTCTAAAACCAGAAGGTCCCGAAGAAACGTGCTCAACTTTTTGGCTCAGCTCTGGTACTCTCTTCGGTCCCAAGCTAATCGATGCACCCCTAGAAACATAGGAAAATCCCCGCACTCCTCATTTTATCTGCGAATCAAAAGAAACATTGTGTAGTACTAGAATTTCGACTAGAGTGGGGTACGTTAATCGATTTGCTTGGGAGCAATAGGCTAGTCACGTAGTGAGCCAAATCATTAGTTTCCACCGGTTGGGTGTACTTTGTACGTCTTTCGAAGGCATTTAAGCTAAATATGTCATGCTAAATTTGACTAATTTTCAATTTCAGCCTCTCAAACCGTTTACTTTACTTACCACGTAAGAGAAACAAGGGAAAGTTAACATTTTTATTTATTTATTCGGCCCATGGCAAGCCTTCATCACACAGCTAAGCTCAAAGTAATAACAAGGGCGTAGCCAGGTTTCGTGCTAGGGAGGGGCGAAAAAAATACCATGGAAAATTTGGCCGAATGCCATTTCATCGAAAACCTTTGTGTTGCTAAGTAATCTGAAGGCTGATTAAATTCAAGAGCAAAATATAACTAAAGGCACCAAAGTATTTTTTATTGCCATTCGATGATATAAGAAAATTAATCTCATTCAATCGATTCAATTTGCATGGATTTATTTTATTTCACCATGAAAATCACAATCACAATCACTCTTTTCATATGGCTTACTTGCCTGTTGTTTGACATCCATACATGGTGAAACAAAAAGTTGGTTTCCCATTGCCAAATCAAAGTTGGCACTCGTGGAGAATGAGAATGAGAGTGATGATGGTTTTAAAATTTTACACCGTGAAGTATACGAGTGCCATCTTAAAATGCTTTTATTTAGCAAACGGAGAATTTTATTTAAATTTGGTTACTGCTACTCATGCTTGCAATTGCTCATTACAGCTAAAATGCTATTTTTCGTAATTAAGTAACAATGAAATACTATAATGATAATTTTTATTTGTAAGATGCAAGAAGAGGTGGTAAAGTTTGTGTATGACATATAAAATTTGTCAATTTTGCTTTCAGAAGGTCACAACTAGCGATTAGCTGTAACGATGAGCAACGCGATGGGCGAGCAATCAGCGATCGAAAAATCGCTAGTTGTGTACCACCTCTTCTTGCATCTTACAAATAGAAATTATCATTATAGTATCTCATTGTTTCATAATTACGAGAAATAGCATTTTAGCTGTAATGAGCAATTGCAAGCCTGCTGCTACTTTAGTAGAAAATTTAATGACTACTCAATCAGCGTTGCCAGATACACCGATTTTATACCGATTTCCGAACTAGATACCGATATACTGATAGGATTCCTCAGAATACCGATTTTTGAAATTGTATACCGATTTATACCGATTTTGACGTAGAACTACGTCTTTGTCGACTATACTGGGGTGCAAGTCAAAAAATATGTGTTGTGAAGGAGTGTTAGGTTTTGAACGCTTGTAACTTTGTCATTTATAGATGAAATTAAAATCCAAATACGCCAATCGATAGGATATTACATTACAAACCTGTTGAAATAAATATTTTTTTCCAATTTTTCTGTAATTAAACTTTTGAAAATGTACAAATGATAATTTTATCACTGATTTCATGAAATAAGCCTTTTTCCCAAATCCAGTCATCATAAACGCGTACCACTTGGTTGCACATCATTCTGCTTGAACCTGAAAAGATCACGGCGTGACCACAATGAGGAAAAGCATTACTGTAAACCTCCCCCGCCCTTCACAACAATCTCTCGGCCACCCCCTCAACAACCTCTCCTACCCCCCCCCCACCATCAAACCCCTCCTACCCCCCCCCCCCACCATCAAACCTCTCCTACCCCTCTTCCCACCATCAAATCCCTCCTACCCCCTCCCCTCAAATACCACTCCTAACCCCCCCCCCCCTCAAATACCTCTCTTATACCCCCCCCCCTCAAATACCTCTCCTAACCCCCCCTCAACAATAACCCGAAAGCGAGACAGACTTTGACGATCCCTTTTTTCCGGGAAATAAATTTTAAACAAACCACAATTATTAGTAAAACCAAGTTTTACCAAATTTGAACAAAAAATTGCATTGAAGACATGTTTGATTACATTCAGTTGGTGAATTACACACAACTGACGGTAAAACATAACTGGTGCCTCTATATATGCAATTGTTTGGGCACACGTCGGGCGCTGATCACATCTTTTGGTCTTGTGCGGAGTATCGTGGAGTCAGATCACATTTTTATGATTCCCTTCGGGCTCGAGGTAGACAACCTAATGTTCCAGTTCGGGATATTTTGGTTAGAAGCGATCTGGAGTTTATGAAACTCATATATGTTTACTTTAAGAATATTAACATTAGATTGTAAGTTTAGATTGTGTTTAGTTTGTATTTTGTACGTGTGGGTTTTTTTTTTCAATGTTTGTTTCCAAGATGAATAGAAATAATTTCATGCTTAATGATTAATTAAATAGTTGTATCGTAAACCACATTTCAAACCTCCTTCTTCCCTTTTCCCATCCAAAAAATTGAAAATCTCCACTAACCTCGAGACAACCGCGAGTACTCGGTCCAGTTCCTTTAACGTTAAATTTAAGACAGTAATAATGTATAACGCAAAGGATAACTCGGCTCTGTAAAGTTTATTCGATTGAGCCTGTACAAATAAAGTAATTATAAAAAAAAACTACTTTTTAGAACTACAACTAACCTACAACTACTATGTACACTTAACCTACTATATACAAATTGCTTATCAAAGCATGTTCTGATAAATTACATTTTTGTGCAAATTTAGTCTTAATTTCGTTAATTCGGGAATCTATTTTGGCAATGCCTGCCTCTTCATGTAAATTTGTTATTCTAGTGTCGAAAGGACGATCAAGAACCATCCTCAGCACTCTATTCTGAGCGATTTGGATTTTTGTTCCTGTGAGTCTGTGCACATGATTCCCATACCGGAGCTGCGTAGAGGATCGCAGGTGCTATGATTTGTTTGTAGATAGCCAGTTTGTTCACCCTTGAGAGGCGGGATCTGCGGCAAATCAGCGGATACAGACACCTAACCAAGACTACTGTTTTCTCTACATGCGAACGGAAGAGGAGTTTTTCATCGAACAACATCCCGAGATAGGTTACTTCGGCAGACCACTCAACCCTTGTGCCATCCATGATTACAGTACAAGATGGAGCCGGTTGCAGTTTGGGCGATTGCCGATGGAGGAACATGATCGCTTGTGTTTTGGAGACATTGATTTTGATTTTCCACGTGGTGGCATAATCAGCAAAGACGTTAAGGCATCGTTGAAGTTTGTTCGTTATTTCGCGAGGCATCCTTCCTTTGACGGCTATTGCGGTATCATCTGCGAACAGGAAAAACACGCAACCGTCTCCAAGGGGAGGAATGTCGGAAGTGTAAATGCTGTAAAGCAAGGGGCCAAGCAGACTGCCTTGCGGGACTCCTTCTGGGATCGAAAACGTGTCTGAGAGACAACCATTCAACGATACCTTAAACGACCTTTGCTGGAGGTAGCTACGGGTGATTTTAACCAGATGTAAAGGAAAGTTGAAGTTACAAAGCTTGTACACAAGTCCATCATGCCAAAATTGTCAAACGCTTTCTCAACGTCTAACAAGGCCATGACTGTGACTTTGTTACTTCGGATGTTATTCATCACCCGCGCTAGCTGATGATTGGTGGAGTGCCCCTTTCTGAATCCAAACTGTTCCGGAAGGAGAATGTTATTTTCCTCGACAAACTTGAGCAAACGATTGAGAATGAGTTTCTCGAACAATTTGCTCAGCGCTGAAAGGAGGCTGATTGGTCTGTAGCTTGAAGACATTGGATCCTTACCGGGTTTGCGGATTGGTATGATTTTTGCTATTTTCCAGATGCTTGGAAAGTAGTGCAGTTCCAAACATCTGTTGAAGATAGCG